TGTGTCACCGCGCTGCCCTAAAAACATCATGTATCATATACATATCTACGCATATCTACCTTGGATTTTAATCCTGCAAAAAAAAAAAGGAAAGTGATTGTATTTAAATGATAGCTGGGAATAAATTCATGGTTCATAAATTTATATCTATATATATTAAAATGAAATTATCCCTTCTCTTTTATCCAAACAAAGCCAGAAAATAAAAATACAAAATTATAGTATACGTTCATGTCATGCATATGAGGACACAAACACCATTTTCAACATCCATCAAGTCAAGTGGTTCCCCAGACTGACGAAACGGCATGCAAGTTGGCAACTTGGATTTTTATGTGTATTTTACTTATATATATATATACATACATACATGTATGTATGTATGTATGTATGTATGTATGTATGTATGTATGTATGTATGTATGTATGTATGTATGTATGTATGTATGTATGTATGTATGTAATCATAAATTCTTCCAAATAAGTGAGATCTATTGAAAATGATAAGCTATCAAATAAAAATAAATCCCAACTTATCTAGCTAACGAAGGTCGGCCACTGAAAGCAATAGTTTATTTATGGGTTTAGACTATTCGAAAAATAATATTAGTTGAATAATGTTGTTATCAAATAATATAAACCGTCAAAATATTACCCAATGCGATTTTAGCCTATCATTGTGATAAATCAACAAAATTTATACCAAAATGATCATTAATAATTTTGGTGATCTCTTATTTATCATAAGATCAGAACCATACCTTATGATATAAAATGTATATTTATTGCTAGCATATTGTTTATAATGGTAGTTTAATATTTTAATAGTTTAATTTTAACTTATTTTGAATTCAATAAATAAATGCAAATCGTATTCTTTAAAGAATTAATCAAGAAAAAACATTCCATAAAACTTTCATGATCCCGGATTTTCGGTTTGGTCTAAAACTTGGGCTAGCTTGTCACAAGAGACCAAAATCCATTTAGTTATACTAATAAAATTATAATATATATGCAAAAGAAATGAAGTTTAATTAAAAATAAAATAATACAAAGAACAACTGACAAACCAATCCAAAGGAAAATCGAATTTTGTAAACAAAGGAAACTAAACACAAACGCATTATTTCTATGGACTGCTCATTTTATTTTGTTCTTGGTGTATGTGTTTTCGTGTCTTTGTTGCTTGAATTAGTTTTACAATTTTTCCCTTTAATTGCTAATGATGCATTATTATAATTCAACTAAAATTGCTTTTAATTATTCACTATATTTCGTAAGATTAATAAAAAAAATATTATTAGTTTTAAGTGTATTGCCAATAAAATTAATCTATGCCTCATTGGGAAATATCAATAGTAGTTTTTTAAATGCATCCCTATCTATATTTATTTTCTATTTTTCTAATTCACAAGAAAAAATCATTCAAGGAATTTCATTTAATTTAGATATTATAATAAAGTATAATATGTATTGCCATGCATTTTCCGTCCTTGTTGGATGAGCATGAGATGTCACGTACGACTTCCGAATAATATATAATATCATATCATTATAATCCGAAAATAAAATTGATTAATAACTTTGATTGATTATAAAATTCGGAATCTATTTGTTTAAGATTCGGATCCTACGAGATTACACCTCATTTGTCTCTCTAATTGAATCTTGAGCTAATCCTAACATTTATAAAACACTGAAAAAATATAATAGTGAAATAATTGGTCAGAAAAGATGTCATTATCTATTCGGAGTCGTAGGAGTTAATGAGGTTTGATTAATTATTAAATTTGATTAATTATTAAACTAGGAATCTATTTATTTAAAATTCGGGTACATACATGACGACACCTCGTGTGCTTGCTTCTCTCATTGAATCTTGGAGTATTTGTAAAAAATTCATAAAAATAAAAACAATAGTAAATAAATAATATGGAAATTGTTTCGTCATACACGTATCATTATATCATTAAAGCTACATTTTTTCCTAATTAATATTTAATTAGCGTCTGATTTTTTTTTTTGTCATATTTCGATGATTACTAAAAGACGTTCGGATATTATAAACCGACAGACAAATAAACACCCATCAAAATTGTGATATTTTCCTCTTTAACTGACATTCTATATTTTATTTTAAATAACAAAATCAAGAATTATAACAAAAAAACAAAATCAAGAAAAAGAAATAATGAAATAAAAACATTGTACGTACAATGTATCAAATAGATTAAGGGCAAATATAAATTTGTCTATAATGAAAAAATGTACTAATACATGATAGAAAACTTTACAATTCATTATAATTTTAATGTTTAATTATATCGATTCATAACGTATTATTTTTTCGTTAATTTAAGTCAATCAAACCTATATAAGATAAAATAAATGAAAAGCGGAAATTTTCAGTGCTTTTTATTTATTAGTTATAATACCTATATCTATATATAAAAAACAAATTATTTAGATAACAATGTGTAATGTGTAAAGAGGGATATATTAGACATTCAAGGCACATGCAAGCTGTTACTTTACTATATATAATTAGGGAAAACATCGTTCGAGTTGACAATTTTGTAACGTTTGATGTTTCAAAAAACCCAGGAACAATTTGACTAATTCTTTGTAGTTTGTAGAATCCAAAATTCTCATAATTACATTTAAATTTTGTCAATTTTGATTATTTTTTTTTTGTGTTTTCCATTAAAAAAAATGAAAGGATTTTCTTGATACAAAAAGGCATTTAATATTTTTTAATAAATTTCCATTTTTGTTATGCTAGTAGCTAGTATATAATATGTATATATATGATTATTATTATTTTGTATTACTTGAGAAGTCAAATTTTAACGTGTCATGACTTTTTCCTTTTAATCGAAAAGAAAGTTTCATACTTCTAAATTGCTGGCGATGACACAGAATATGAATTTAGTCAGCAATTTTTGTAACTTGATCAATTAGTTTATGGATATGTGAATAAATTGATTAGTATTTTAATTAAGATACTAATCATACGTCATAACACATAATCATTTGCCCTTTCAATTGAATCTTAGGGTAATGAGGAGAAAATTCTCAAAGAATTCCTCCGATTTTACAATTAAATAAATTGATCGCAGTAAGCTGCTCCTGCGGACTAGGTGCCACATCATTGCCTACACAACTTAGTTAAAATATACATATTTTGATTTTACTTTTGCCAAATGGTACGATCCTTAATCAACCCTAAAGAATCGGATTGCTCGATTTTTAATCTATTTTTTGTTTTAATATGTGTTATTTGAAACAAAAATAAATATTACTATTTATTGGTTGACTTTTGTAAAATGTAATAAAATCTAGATATTGGCGTTTTTAAATTATTTTGGAACATGTATTTTCTCTAATGATATATGCATATATTCCCAATATGTTTCGAAATATACATTATATACTTCTATTATATAATCTATAGTTAGCTTTCTCTTGGTAGAATAACAAAAACAAAAAACTGTTACAAACATATAATAACAAAGCCATTAAATTATATGTAAACTACATTGGACTAAGATTTATCTATAATATATGTATATATACCATCTCTCTCTCTCTCTCTCTCTACTTATGGTAATTTGTTAAAATAAAAGTAAACGATATTAAAAGAACAAATACAAAATGATATCAAATGAAACTTAACTTGAAATTGGAAGACGTGTACAACTTCGGTAAGATATATTTGGTCATCGTTTCATATATATATATATAATAGTCGAAACCTATTCATACAAGTCATCTACATTAGGGTTCCGTGTGTATTATATAGTTTATATATATTCCTTAATATTCTCTGTTCAGATTCTAAAGGGTTCCTAAAGTACGCCGAATCAGGAGAGAGAGAGAGAGAGAGAGAGAGAGAGAGAGCATAAGCAAAGTCGTGTATCATAATATTGCTTTCTTCTTCATCGTCGAAAAAAAAAAGATGGTAAATTGCTGGTGCTTCTCTGGCGGCGGATCCACAGAAAATCAGATTCATGAGATAACAGATTACGGGGACAGAGATGCTGTGCTGTATCCCCAGTTAGAAACGGTCGGATTCGGAAGTGGTCTTGAAGGCTTTGGATCTGTTTGTTCTTTGCCCGGAACCAAAGGGCTCAACCAAGACTCCGCACTTCTCCATCCCGTAATAATTTATCACTCTTAATCAGATGATTTTTCATTTCAAATACCGGTTTATGCCCGATTCTCCGCTGTTTGTTTTCCATGAAACCAACGACGGAGGTAAGAAAACTTTCTTAATTATCGAAGGCATTTATACGTCTCAGAGAAAAACATAGGACATGCATCAGTTTTGTTCATCGGGTACGCACATAAAAATTTGTACAAATTTTATATAAATTATAGTTTGCATGATTAATATGAACTTAATGGTACATGAGAGATATGTGATCCATGTCGTGTATGCCCTTCTTACCAATTCGATGCTAGTACAAGAGGATAACCGAACTGCTTTCCTCCGATAATACGTATCTCATAAAGTATATATGTAGAGACATATCGGTATATCGCTCAAATTTTCGAATTCTTAACAAAAATTCAATAGGGAATAAAATATATCATAAGGATAACCGATCAATTCCAAGTGTTCATCGTTCGGAATCGTTGAGCAGGGATTCGGAATAGGAGGAGAAGCATCATTGTGCGGAGTGTTTGATGGGCATGGAGAAAACGGTCACCTTGTGAGCAAGATCGTGAGGAATGAGTTACCCGCCATCTTGTCGGGAAATATGAACACTTGGCCGGAAAAACAGTGGAAAGAAATCTGCCACGATACGTTTTCTACGATGGACAAACGGATTCTTAAGCGAAAAAAGACTCTCGATTGTTCTTCGAGCGGGACTACTGCTGTTCTTGCTCTTCGTCGGGTAATTTAGTTATAGTTACACTTATATTAATTTCATAAACCTTACTTAAAAAAAAGCCTTAGGTTTAGGGTTAAATATGCCTTTTTTTAAAAAAGTTTTTTGAAACATTATTTGTGATGCTTTAACCTATTTTGAGAAATGAAATATGTAGATCAAGAATTTGAATTGGCTTAACCATTTATTGACCAAAATGATTGTTTTCCGGGCGTTCGATGAATTCTCGATATATATATATATACATATATATATATATATATATATATATATATATATATATATATATATTTTTATGGTCTG